TTGAATTGAATTGAATTGAATTGGTGATCCGGAGCATCAAGAAAATAGAATCATTTACACCTTCTCTGAAATATTTCAGCAAAATCAGTTTTTAAATGTTCTTTATAACTAAATTTAACTTGTCTGGAGATAAAGAGATTCCTAATAGCTGGATATGAATTGAACCTGTTATTTGAGGGAACAATTGTTATAAATATAAAAGTAAACTAAACAGAAAACCAATTTTAAAGAATGAAACTTTTTGTTTACACAATATTTTAAGCAATTTTATAGTTTATTGTTGTGTCTTCATATTGTCTCCTGATTACATGGCCTCTCATTCAGCATAACAAACACTGCAAACTAATTGGGTATTTATGGCATTTATTAAAAAGGCGAATAAATAGTGTGCAAAATATTCATTACTCATCAATCGCCGTACGTTCTCTTCTATAAGTTGACAAATAAATGTCATTTTTACATTCAGTTCAAGTTTGTTCTGCATTTCACAGCTTTATTTCAGCCACTATCAGTAACCCAGCACCGTTTAACACCTTTAAATGTTGCTGTTCTTCCCTCTCAGTCACAACATGCGGTCCGAGCTGCAGAGACCCGCATGGAGGAGGAGAGTCTGGACCTTCATCAACTGTCTCCATTCACAGCCTCCCGACGTAAAACCTTCCGAATGCGATCGCTCTTTGTAAGATGAGACGGGAGGCGGTTATTCTGCAGAACAGAAACATGTTTAAGGAGCTGGGATGATGCATGCGTGGCTTTACTTCCTGTTCATCAAAGCTGGAAGCGTTACCTCGTCGGTTAAAGAGGGATCGGCGTTGGCGGCGAGCAGCAGCAAGACACTTTGAAGATTTCCACTCATGACAGCCGCATGAAGGGCGGTGGAGCCATTCTGGAGGCAACACAACCATAACAGCTATTTATTAAAAAAATTTAATTAAGTTGCAAATTGTACATTGAAAAGCTTGAAGATCCCCCTTCTGTGGGCAACTGGATGAAATCAACTAGATCTATGCAGTGGTAAACCTGAAGAAGTCCAAGGGAAGGAGAGAATTTAAGCAGCTCCTCGATGACGCTGTTGTGTCCTTTCAGTGCTGCTTTGAATAACGCAGTCGATCCGTCCTTTAAAGTTAAGAGACATAAGAACTGAATTAGTTTGAACAACATCTGAACAGTTTCTTTTACACTGTTAAAGTCCACAGCATGAAATTAAACACCAAGGCTCTGAACGTTTGGATTTAGTTTGATTTTTCCTGTTATTCATTTCTCTTGTTTGTAAAGAAATATTCCAGCACTCTTGAACATATGCTATTTTAATGCCAAATATTTTTGCACAGGAAAAGCAACAGTTTGGTTCAATCCTGTTTCCTAATGAGGAGGATTCCTAAAGCTGAATCTATTACAGTCAGAGTCAGTGGTGGTTTCAGGTAGGAATTTATTAGTAATTTTCCCTGAACTAGTATTTTATTTGCATGTTTATTCCACAGGAAGCAGAGGATAATTTTATATCCCAATGCAGTGTGCAGTTTGGTGACCTACAGACTACAGTGTGAATTAAAAAAAAACACCAAAATTCTCATTTGAAGCTTCAGATTCAACCCTCAGCTAAAGGATGTTTAATAGTTGTTTTTTTTTCATTTAATGTAATATCTGATCCAGGTAAAACAAATATTTTTTTAATTGTCTGTCTGAAAACATAAAACAAACATTTTATTCACTTTTTTGGGACTGGAAGCACCTTGGATTGAACCCAACAATGCATTAATAATAGTGATGAATGCAGGGAAAACCAAGGAGCTAGTGGTGACACTGGTGATCATCCATGGAACGGACAGTGAGTTAGTGGACTCTTCTAAGTACCTCGGTGTTCACCTGAAGAACAAACTGGACTGGACTCCCGACACTAAGGCTCTGGATCAGAAAGGTTAGAACAGATTCTTCCTGCTGAGGAGACTGAGGTCTTTAGGACAGCAGGGGGCGCTCCTAAAGACCTTCTATGACTGCTGGAGCTGTCTGTCTGTAGGAGCAGCGGCTCATCTGTAGCTGAGAGGAATCTGCTGGATCAGCTGATCAGGAAGGCCAGCTGTAATTGGATGCCCTCTGGACTCAGTGCAGGAGGTGGGAAACAGACGGATCCTAACTAAATGAAGCTGGTGCTGAACTGGACAGCTCCTTCAGTGACAGACTGCTGCATCTTAAATGCACCAGGGAGCGTTATCACAGATCCTTCCTCCCAGCAGCTGGAAGACTCTAGAACCACCACTGTTCCCAACAACCTCAATCAGTTTCTACCGTAGTCATTTAAATAACCTGCTGCTGTCATT